TCCTGGATCCTGCGGCGTGCTTCTGAAACGCCACATGAAACTCGCGGGCGTAATAATCATATAGGCGGCTGCCTATACGCGGCACGAACGCAAACGCACGCTACATACGCGCCTACGCGTCTAAAGCGTGGTTTACACGACGCGCTCTTTCCGATAGTATTTATTTAAAGCGCGCCGAAAGAAGATAGCGGCTATAAAAAAAAAGAGAAAAAAAAATGTGGACACCACCCTGGAAGAGCGGCGTCCCACTTCTTGCACATTATTTTTTAACGGTCTTTGAGTCAACTTAGAGTCTCGATCTTTCCTCAGCAAAAATGTCAAGAGAGGATTGCCTCTGCAGCAACTTTTCAATCTTTGGCACATCGTACATTCTAGTGATTAAATTACAAATCCGAGAATTTTATTAAAATGTATAAATTTTATGTTATCTTAACTGATAAATATGATTTTTACAATTCGTTTGATTTCCCTAAAGTTTGCGAAAGAAATCTTTCTCTTTTAGTCACTTATCGAATGCTTGAATATTTTTGCAAAAGAAAATCTTCTGAGGAATCTCGTTGCAAGAATAACAATCGAAAAGTGGAATATCCTGTATACCTGCTAACATAAAAATATCTTAGAACGGAACATATGTTAGCGCCAATATTATACGCACATTCGTGAAATGTTTGCGTTTCTATCTGACTCGTTGGAAAAAAATTAGTTACAACCGTTGCGAACAACGGTTAAATGACTTTTATTTTAAATAATCTTAATTTTTTTTATATTTAATAATCTCGTGTGTATTTTTCGATGTATTTTACTAAAATATCTCTTTACGCGTTTATTCGTATAATTCAGCAAACATGAGTTTTAAAATTTATTCGAGACTTGTCTGCTGATTGTTAAAAACTGGTCTGGCTGCTTTGCGCGATACTTTTTATGAGAGGATTAGCAGACATAGGTAAAGTTTGAATATTTTAAGTTGATTTTAAGTTTTAGCGTGCTTAGTTGGCAAAGGACGAGAAAGGCAAACTAGCAGCGTACTGAAGTACGCGATGCTTTTTCGCGGTACGTACTATGCGCCAAAAAAGTATCGTGTAAACTACGCTTAAGAAATGCGCCGTTGCATCACAGCGTTGTTGCAGCGTACGTATAAATGCACGTAAAACCGTCATAGTCGTAATGGAGCTTAATTCCGACGTAAAAGTCGTAATTTTGGTCATTTTCCCTTTTCATAATGCTTCCGGACAGTCTCTCGCCGCAGAGACATAAATCTATCGATCGCAACTTGCGCGCCATTTTTTCAGTTAAAAGTAGAAATGCACGTAACAATAGATTTTTAAACTGAAATGACCAGACATTTAAATTACGAGAGGGCCAGAGACAAAGAAATAAAAAGAGAGAGAGAGAGAGAGAGAAGAAAAAGGAGA